AAGAGCTGGGAATTTAATCCAGGTCTCCCACATGAGTGTCAGGGACCCTACCACTTCAGCCAACACCTGCTGCTTCTCAAGGTCCACATTAGCAGGAAGCTGGAGTTGGAAGCAGGACAGGATTTGAATCCAGGCACTTTGATATGGATGTGGACTTTCCATGTGGTGTCTCAACAATTATTTTCATGATGTGAAGATACTGATTTCTGATGAATAGATGGCCATTTATTTCCTATGTGACACAAAGCAATATAAAATACCTTCTTTTTTAAAAAAAATAGATTTTTTTTTATTGCAAAATCAGATTATAGAGAGCAGGAGAGATAGAGAGGAAGTTCCTCTGTCCAATGATTCACTCTCAAGCAGCCACAACGGCTGGAGCTAGCCTCTCTGGGTCTCCCAGGTGGGTGCAGGGTCCCAAGGCCTGGGCCATTCTTGATTGCTTTTCCAGACCACAAACAGGGAGCTGGATGGGAAGCAGAGCTGCTAGGATTAGAGCCAGTCCCATATGGGATCCTGGCGCATGTATAATGAGGAATTTAGCTGTTAGGCTACCGTGCTGGGCCCCAAAAATGTTTTAAAGAATTAGAAAAGCTTACTTTTCTTATTCTTGAACAATTATTTAGTTTTTCTTTTTAGTAGAAGGACACTTTTGCTTTTGAAAATGCATTTACACTTACTCCAATCCATTCCTCTTCCTCAGTTCATTTCTAACAGATGACAAATGTTACCTGATTATGTTCTCTAAACTCACCAGGAAAAGCAGACCTGATGGTACAACTTCCCTTCCACCTTCACAGATTAAGAGGTCAGTAAAGCCAAGCTTGGCTTGAGTGCTGTGTAGATGTCAGCCATCTTAAAGGGCGTGACCCACTTTTCCTTCACACATTACTCACTATTTCCCTGGTGGTCATATCTTTTTCAGAAAATGATGCCTTAAAGAAGGAGAGGGGAGAAGTGAGGAGAGGGAAGTGGGCGGGGAAACAGTGGCCACACATGATTTCTATTAATTCACCCCATACCCTACATAGTAATATATTTCCCCTTCTCTTGATGTTACTATTATGCTAATGGAAATGAGCCAATCCCAAAAGGTCAGATACCACATGTTTGCTCTAATATAAGATAACTTGCATCAAAAATCTCAAAGCTGGTATGACGAGGGGTTGTTTTGCTCATCTTTTGGAATGGCTCTTGCTTGTTTCAATACGTAGTTTTGTAGAGTTAAATCTAATTGTTTTTGCAGTGGCCCTTTCCTTTTTGTACTTCCTACTAATCTGTATCTCTCCCAATAAGTTCTTGTGGTTCATGAATTGATCATCCATAAGAGATGGTTTGCTTGTAAACACTTGAGATTGTAAATGTCCATTTCAACATTGTTTTGAAACATATGAATTTCTAGTTATTAATTGTAATGAATTTCTAGTTATTAATTGTAACTCCTCCAGCGCTACAAGAGTCCGCACTGGCATCTATTCCTACAAGAAGGTTTTGGATTCCTGTTTTCACCATTCTTGTGATGCATTTTTATTTTAGTATCATGGCAGCTAACTTCACATTGATGAAAACTTATTATTTTCACTCTGATGTGGAATGTGCTCACTCATGATTTCTATTAATTTAGCCTATACCCTACACAGTAATATATTTTACCTTCTCTTGATGTTACTATTTTTTATTACAAAAGTTGACCAGTTTAAAGACTCAAGCAATTGTCTTTAATTTAAGAAAATACTTTGGGCCTGGTGTGATGACTCAGTGCCTAAATCCTCACCTTGTAAGTGCCAGGATCCCACATGGGTGCTGGTTTGTGTCCTGGCTGCTCCACTTCCCATCCAGTTCCCTGCTTGTGGCCTAGGAAAGCAGTAGAGGATGGCTCAAAGTCTTGGGACCCTGCACCTGTGTCGGAGACCCATAGGAAGCTCCTGGCTCCTGACTTTGGTTTGGCTCAGCTCCAGCCATTTGGGCCACTTGGGAGTAAACCAGTGTATGGAAGCTCATTTTCTCTGTCTCTCCTTTTCTCTGCAAATCTGGTCTGCCTTACCAATTAAAAACAAAATACCTCAACAAATTTAGGACATAAGTTAGTGCCCACAAACAAGAGGAGTTTATAACAGGAGCTGTTAGCCATCCATAGGATGAACGAATGGATGAAACGGCAAATGAACAGCACTTCGCTGAGTAAAATAGATGGATATTGCACTAATACAAGCTTTTAAAAAAAATCATTTGCTTATTTATTTGACAGGCAGAGAGACATAAATAAGGATTGGGAAAGAAAGCTCCTATCTGCTATTTCACTTTCATTCACTCTCAGCAAACGGGGTGAGGTCAGGGATGGTGCTGGGAATTGGGAACTCAATCAAGGTCTTCCATGTGGAATCAGGAAGCCATCACTGCTACTTCCCAGGACCTGCAGGAGTCAGGTACTAAATGCCTACTCTTTGACTGGCTTTCTTTTTTCTTTTTTCCAGATATACAGATTTAAAAACCTCTCTCTTGCAAAAAAAATCCCTAAAATATGAGATATGGCTTATAATATAAACACTGTATCAGCCTTGGGAAAAATGTATTGCACTATGCATATGGATGTTAAAAAAAACATAATGTGGTGTTTCTTGCTGTTGTCTCAGATGTGTTTTCTTAGCCCTCTCAGAGATGTAGATGAGAGAACACTTCCTGGTCACTTCATCACTTATTTAGTCTCCTCATGTCACAGAGGAGTATCGATAGTGACCTGGAAAGGTTATGTGTTCAGAATGACAGAATCAGAACCTTGGTCTGATTAATCAAAATAAATGAATCAAATTAATCAAAATAAAATACCTTCAATCATTCTGTATCTTCAAGCCCCAAATTTGCTACCTCAGTTCAGAAGAGCCAACTCTGTTAGGGTTCTATGACCAGCACAAACAGAACACAATGGTTCCAAAGATAAGAAAAATTGTCACGGAGCTGGCACTAAGACGTAATACATTAAGCCTCTTCCTGAGGTATTGGCATCCCATATAGACACCAGTTTGTGTCCTGGCTGCTCCACTTCCAATTCAGCTCCTTGCTAACAGCCTGGGAAAGCAGTGGAACAGGGCTCCAGTCCTTGGGCCCCTGTACCCCCACGGCAGATTCAGAAGAAACTCCTAGCTGCTGACTTTGGACTAGCCCAGCTCCAGCTATTGCAGTCATTTGGGGAGTGAAACAGCAGATGGGAGATCTCTATCTCTTTCTCTCCTTCTCTCTCTGCAACTCTGCCTTTCCAATAAAAATAAATGAATCTTAAAGAAAAAAAAAAAAGAAAAATCATAACCTACAAAATCAGTGTCTCTCATGAATCTGGAATGCGGAATGAAACATTTCACTGTCTCAATAAAAACAAATGGAATGGATCCCTGAGGCAACAGGGAGTATGAGATGGATCTGTATATATGAAACATAGTTTAAACACATGAATATGCCAAGCAACTTTTATTATAGTAAGTAGAGTTTTATTCTACTTACAACAGGTTTAGGGCAACTATAAGATCTAAGTACCTTCTTCTGAATTTTAGTTCACTTATATCAAAATACCTTGATCACAACTGGATTAAGTCACTTTAAATTTGCTTTTCTTGCCCATCTGTCCCTTTGTTTCTCTCTAAATCACCTTTAGAGGCAAAGTTAAATTAACATACAATCATAGCACAGAATAATGATCCAAGCTTTCCTGTGAACTCCAGCCTTCACATAAGTAATGCTTCTATATATAATATGGATAATGTTTTAGGACAAAGTCTTGGAATCACACTTGGTCCACTGTATCTAAACTCCATATGGGAGTCACTACAAGCCTCACGATGTTCTTCATCAAGATGAAGGGAATAACAAAGAGGGGGTTTCCCTAAACTGAAATCTGCCAACTTTAGTCTGACACATTCATGCATCAAGTGAGTAAGATGTGTCAAGATCTTTCAGTTAAGTAAAAGAAATTAAATAGGTAGAAACACCAAGTTAGACAACTTGGAAATTATTTCAGATTCTTTTAACATATCTCTGTAACTCACATAGAGTATCTGCTGTAACAATATCCCAACCAGAACAAAATTTAGCCAGACTTAATCAAGCACTTAATATCTCCAAAAGGCTATTGAAGAGAATAACCACAAAAAGACAGATGAGAAGAATCAGGCAAGCAGCTTTGGAAAAGGAGACGGCAGGCTTCTGAAATGTTTTGGTGCTGAAGGAGGTAGATTTTCATGTGATAATTATTTTTGCTAAATATATTTCCATTTATAACAAAACTGAAACATTCAATTTAGCTGCTTTCTTTACTAATAAAAACCTATTTTAAACATCACCGTCACATGTATGGAAACATCTGGGAGAATTCAGCAAAATATCTGCCATTTGGAAGTCTTGACACTTTAATGAACATAATCACGTTTTAGTCATCTTACTGCTTTATTTTTATACAATGTAAAAACCAATGGCATAAAAAAAATGACTCCAATAAGACAAATAATTAAATCAAATATTGTTATTTAAATCTGTCTCCCAAACCACTTTCCCTTAGAGTCAATTCTCAATCGAATTCAAGAAAAATAAGGCAGTATTTTAGAGCATGAAGAAAGTTTCAGCATACTAGCAGAACCAACTTGTACAATATAATTACAAAAGATTACAAAGGCACTATCTCAAACATTTTCCTGGTGTATATTGCAAAAACTGTCTCATGTAACACATGTCATCAGAATAAAGAGGAAGGAACAGCATCTTAAACCCACTCTGCATTTAGGAAATTGGATCCCTGCGTTCCCATCTTCTGTTATTAAGATTCCTTAATTAACATCTTTTATTCTATCCCTTAGAGTTATCAACATGATCCACAAAAAAGAAAAGTACCAGAGAACGCCAGTTACCTTATTTTAACAGAGATTAAGCTAGTCAGGGCCTGGGCAGTAAGAAAGCTATGTTATCTCATACACACTATCTGTGAACAGCAGCAGGAAAAAGGCTTATATTCTTACCAATGAATTTCTGAGGCATTGAGCTTTTTCGTTTTGCCACATTGCTTGCTAATCTGTCCAGAACGAGAGCTCTTTCACTTCCCATCTCTGCTTTGATGTGTCTCGCCTCCACACTTGCTGGTTTGGAAAAATGTAAAAAGAAGAGGGAAACAAACACGTTGGTAAATGGGGAACAAAGGAAATAAACTGGAAAGATAAGTGTCGGAGGGAGGTCTCCTGCGCGATCTGTCGTGGTTACCTGTGGGTGCGCTCAGATTCTTGCCTGGGTACCTGCTGTGGTCAGTGCAGTCCACAACAGGGCACATTCAAATCTTGCAGTCTTATGCTGAGATGGGAAAGCCCAACCCATCCCCCGACTAGTACCTTCATTAGCAAGAGGAAGTATTAAATAAATAGCCTGGACGTGGTTGGTTGCAAAAAGATAGTTGGAGATCTTCTAACCCCCATCAGCCTTCTTTCTGATTCTGAGTAACTGTGTAGGACACCTGCAGACTGACATAATTCTTAACAACTTTGAAAAAAAAAAAAAAAAAAGAGAGAGGGAGACGTTGCCCCAGATGACTGCTCTGTTTATGTTAATAGCACTTTTGAAAATAGACACACTCAGCCAGGTAGCAAGAAATCTACTCAGTGATTTGAGTATTGAAATTCTGACAGGTTTTTTTTTTTTCCTTTTCTTTCTTTCTTTCTTTTTTTTTTTTTTTTGTCAGCATGCTCCTCGCAGATCCTATCTTTCATATTGTTTCTCTGGGCTCTGCACTATCTGTTTCATATGCTTGTCTCATTTCAAAAATGTCTGAGTTAAAATTTCCCTGAGCAACACTTCTGTCTTGAAATTAAAGAGCAATTTGTATAATGCACTGCTATTATTTTTCTGATGAAAAATGTGAATAAAAATTGCCTAAGAATATGGGCTCACTTGCCAGTCCTGGAAATGATCTTTGCGCGCTGTGGGCCATAGTCCTCACACCTGGCTGCACATTAGAATCAACTGAAGAATAAGTAAGAGATACCTATGCCTGGGCTCCCCCTTTCAGATCAGTGAAATCAGGATCATGGATACAGAGGCCTGGGCAACCGTATTTTCAAAATTCCCCAGATGATTGTAAAATGCAACCAGAACTGAGACTCATTAGAAAAATACATGAATAGCACCAATATCTCATCAACTAAATTAGTAAGCTGGAATTCATCTGTATAATGTTTATTTATTTTTAAAGATTTTTTTTTTAAATGAAAGAGTGATAGAGAAAGAGGAAGAGAAACATAAAGAGATCTTCTACCTACTGCTGATTCATTCCCCAAAATGGCTGCAAGGGCCAGGGCTGGGCCAGGCTGAAGCCAAGAGATTGGCACTCCATGTGGGTCTTCTATGTGAGTGGCAAGGGTTCGAGTACTTAGATCATCTTCCACTGCTTTCTCAGGTACATTAGCAAGGAGCTGGACCCGAAAGTAGGGAAGCAGGGATTTGAATGGGCACTGCAATATGGAATGTTGCTGTTGCAGGCAGTGGTTTAATCCACTGTGCCATGATGCTGGTCCCTAAATAGAATATAATTTGAGGTGGGCTATATCAGAGTGCTTGGTTTGCACCTTGTCTACTCTATCTCTCCTGTGCAGGTCCAACTTCCCACTAACGAGTATTCTGAGATGCACAGGTTGGCACAGGTTCTTCAGTCCCTGCCAGCTATGTCCACACTGGAAACCTGGATGGAGTTCTGAGGTTTTGGCTTTAGTCTGGCCCTGTCTCTCGCCCTGTCCTTTTTTCCCCAACATCTGAGTGAAGCAGCAGATGGAAGATCCCTCCCCATCTCTCCCTTTCAAATGAAGCAAAAATTAGAAATGTATAGCCCAGTTTTCCTAGATATAGCACACAATATCCACTATGCTCTCACATCTAAAATTCAAAGAGAAACCAACCACTCTACAGTTTGAAACTTTAACACTTGAAGCTAGCCTGAGCCAAGGATTAGCAAACTGCTTGCTAAAGGGTCAAATAGTTAATATTTGAAATTTGTGAGACACATGCAGTCTCTGTCCTTTATTTATTTATTTATTTTTTATTCTGCTTCACACCTTTCAGTAAGATAAAACTCTGCTCAAGGGTCTGAATTACTCTCCCATTCCCTAAGCAAACATATTGGGGTGTTATGAACTTTTTTCTCTGTTTCCAAACCTTTACAATGCTGCTTAAAAAATGATATCAGTTTACAGAACAAAGCCAGCAATAATTACAGAATTGATTCCACTTCCCTCCCACCCAAAACACTAATATATATACAGGTTTGGGAGTTAAAGCGCTCATTATGTAGCTGATGGCATGGTGTGAACAGATTTTGATACAAAGAAACAACATCACTAGTTCATGGTTCTTCAGATAAGAACCACAGATGGACACGAGTGCAAAAGAGCTGGCAACCTTTAAAGGAAAGGAATGAAGGGGAAGACCTCAGGGACAGATGTCATGTATGGCCAGGATGGGAACTCAACCTGAATTAATAATACAAAGTATTAAATATTTTTTCATCTTGCTGCTAACATTAAAAATAAATAAATAAAAATGGTAAGTCAGCCATTGTACAATACATTATAAAGTTCAGTTTGTTTTCTTTTAAGATTTATTTATTTGATTGGTTGGAAGATAGAGTTACAGAGAGAAGGGGAGGGACAGAGATCTTCCACCTGCTGGGTCACTCTCCAAATGGTTGCAAGGCAGATCTGGGTTGGTCCAAAGCCAAGAGCCAGGAGTTTCTTTTGAATCTCTCACAGGGTGGCAGGGGCCCAAGCCCTCAGACCATCTTCTGCTGCTTTCCCAGGCACATGTGCAAGGAGCTGGACTGAAAGTGGAGCAGCTAGGTTTCAAGTCAATGGCTGCAAGGGATGCTGATGCTGCATGCAGTGGGTTTAACTGTCATGTCATAACACTACCCCTCAAATTCAGTTTTTTTTTTCTAAATTGAAGAATAAAATGAAAATTGGCTTCAAAAATAATGAGTAGGAGAGGATGGGGATAGTAATAACACTTACTAGACTGTCAAAAATAATCCTAGGACTAATGTGGTGGTTCATCACATTAATCCTCCATCTGCAAGCACCGCCATCCCATTTGGGCTCCAGTTAGTGTCCTGACTGCTTCACTTCCAATCTAACTCTCTGCTTATGGCCCAAAAGTAGTGGAGGGTGGCCCAAGCCCTTGGGACCCTGAACCCATGTGAGGGAACTGGAAAAGGTTTTTAGCTCCTGGCTTTAGATTGGTTCAGCTCCAGCGATTGTGCCCATTTGGGGAGTGAAACAGCAGATGGAAGAGCTTTCTGTCTCTCCTTTCTACAAATCTGCCTTTCTGATTAAAAAAAAAAAACTTAAAAAAAAGTAATAAAAAAATCCTAGGCTTTAACAAAACAAATCAGAGCCTTTAGTCTACACTGTTAGCAGCTATTAAGGCAGAATAAAGGGCTTGGGTAGTTTTTGGACTACTAGAATATTGCAACTTTAGCACATTTTAGTGACAGAACACTGCTTCTGAGTGAAGTGGGACAAATGCTGCCCAGCAAAAGGACAGGTTTAAATGACCAAACAGGAAACTATTATATATATATTATTTCCTTTCACACAAACCACCAGCAGATGTGGCACTACCCAAAACCTGAGGGCAGAGAGATGAAAGGCAGAGGCTGGAATCTGAAGTTTCTGAAGGTGTTACCAGGAGGGTTTTTAGAAGCACGGCAAGGCAGTGAGGTCTGGGTTCTGACTCGGAACACTCATGCGTATTGGAGCAATTTTAAGAGGACTAAAATCCAAATGACGTTTCTTCCACCCTGTATTTATCACCAAAATGATCTATAATGAAGTGAGAATAAAAACCAGAACTTTAGGAATTGTTACCTTTTATTTCCATTTTATCACTACTTGCTCATCTCTTGGTTCTTGTGGCCAAATCATTACCTAGGACTTACCCAAGCAATACATCCTGCAGGTCTAGCTTTCCCACTGGTTTCTTAGCAGCCACCATCTACATTTTACCAAAGTCACTATCAGTGACAACATGCAGCTTCCTGAGGACACGTAATCAACATCCTCTACACTCCTGTGGATGCTGCAGCATGGACACAGTGACCTAAATAACCGAAATGAGGGCATGCCACAACATGGCGGCCTTCGAGATAACATCACCTTTTATTCCTGGTTACCCACCAAGCTGTTCTTGACAGTAATTTCCAGATGACTCTTACAAGAAAAGTCAGCAACCAAATGCCTAACATCTGTAAAGTTAAAATTTCGTAGAGTTCATTGATGGACAGGCAATTCTGAGACATGATTTCGGAGATGTTCCTATTTGTATAATTATAGTTAGATGCAAAGAAATTCTCTAAACTAACCCAGGGGCCTACCACATATCGGTTCCTTTTCCTGATTCACTCAAAATATCAACTCCAGAAGCCAACATTATACAAGTGGACATGTGCTGAGATGGAGCTCACCTGCACTGAGTTAATCATTTTCTAATTGCCAAGCTAGGCAAAGACTCATTTTCAAGTGAATATGAGGCACTCTTGTTCTCTCTCCTAATCTGCTAGTCTTTTACCTTGCAATTGTTTGCAGTCAACTTACAGTACTGGTCACTCTTTAAAACAAGTCACTGGATCCAGTATGGTAGCCTAGAGGCTTAAGTCCTCATTTTGCATGCACCAGGAAACCATTTGGGTGCTGGTTCTAATCCTGGCAGCTCCGCTTCTCATCCAGCTCCCTGCTTGTGGCCTGGGAAAGCAGCTGAGGATGGACCAAAGTCTTGGGACCCTGTACACCTGTGTGGGAGATCTGGATAGGCTCCAGGTTCCTGGCTTTGGATTGACTCAGCTCCAAATGCTGTGGCTGCTTGGGGAGTGAGTAAGTGGATGGAAGATCTTCCTCTCTGTCTTGCCTCCTCTCCGCACATCTAACTTTACAATAAAAATAAATCATGAAAAACAAAACCACATAGTCACTTAGCAGTTGGACACTCTCTTTGGGATCACAGCGTAATTTAAGCAATGCACAGAAAAGAAAAAAAACAGGGGACTGTTAGTTTTTGGTCCTTTGTCCCAACTTTAGGGCCCAACTATCTCTACAGTCTAGACTTGTTATCTTGTTACATCACGTCTCAGAAACGCAAGCAGAGGAAAACCAGTTTGGCAAGATACTCAGGGAACAAGATAATGGGTTTACATGATGAAATAGGAAATCCGTTCCTGGGTGGTGTTCAGCGGTTTAATGTTGCAAGGGGTGGGTGTGCGGAATATGGGATGTGGCAAGGAACAATTTGCACATTTGGTTCACAAGAAAGCATAGAAGGTATAACATTGTAATTTTGAATCTACTTCCCTTTGTGTCACTAGCTTGCTATGCAGTAAGTGTACCAATTCCTTAGCAAAGAGATTTTAAAGGTATGCAGAAAAATAATAAAATGCAATATAAAATCACAAAATAGGTTTCCACATTTATTCTCTGCACAAGTCTGGTTTCTTTAGTTAATTGTTTCCATGATGCAATTTCTACCTCAAACTGTGGCTGTAGGTTTAACTATGTAATGTGTTGTGCTTTTGTTTTTCTTCAAAATCCTTCATTAGATCTTGAGGTGTTAAATGGAGCTTAAATAAGAGGCTTTGCTTCCTGCTCTCTCTGGTGTGGTCAGCGGGTAGCTAATAGAGAGTGGAACAAAGGGGTGTTCTTGTGCAATGAGAATTGTCTAACAAGAGATAGCTATCAGAGATGAAGGCAGGCTATAACAAAAAAGCTTGCATAAAACCATTGCCTTTTGGAGCAAGGAAAATGAATGTCACATCTTACATTAACTAGGAAAATAGACCAACCTTTTTTTTTCTTAATTTTTCCTTTGGCAAAAACACAAGTTGTTAAAACAACTTTGTTCTGAAACCATCATGCTCACATTAGCTCAACTGAACCAATGAGAATGAAGATAAAAGGTTCTAACAAATATAATTACTCAATATTTAAAAAATCTTTTTAGAAATCAGTTATACAAAATTAAGTCCTGTTGCAATTATTTATAATAGGTGTGAAGTGAGGCAAAATCAACCTATGTACCAGCTCCTAGTCTCTCTCTGGAATAAGGACCGAGTTAGTAAGATGAAGTTCATGTCTTCTACATTTTTCCTTTCAACAGAGGTAGCCCATTGAGATAGCAAAGGTCTTAATGATGTCATCATGATATCTGGCAACACCATCCACATGTTTCTGTTAAATCTTCGCATTGTATCGATAGATCATGAATCTTGCTGGATGGTGAGTTACACAGCTCTGAAAAGAGCCCAGCACACAGCAAACCCCATAGATACTATCTCAATAAAAGAAAACGATTATCAAGGCCAGAAACGCTGGTGTCCATCACCTGCCTTCTTTCATAGGACAGCCTGGGCTTTCCTGTTTACTCTGCTTCAAGAATGGTTTGTCACAAGGCTTGGCGCTCACAGGATGCCACACTTCAATTTACAATAATTTTGATGAGTGAGTGCTGCCTTCACGGTGGGGCCTCAGCATTATCACTCTGAAGGTGAAGGAGGTAGGTATAAGGTGTACTGTATGCTCAGGCTAGGATAGAGCACCGGCTCACACAGGATTCTCAATTTTAAGGAAAAAAAAAAAAGCCATGTAAAAAGCGGTGGCAATAATTAAAAGCCTGGCTTATGTTGCATTGAACAGTCTATAGTTTGGATCTCAGGAACATCATGGGAACTTTTTGAAACGTAAGAGTAACACATTGAGTGACATGTAGTGTTTATATTCGATGAAGCTGTGACTTTACACATTCTGTAAGCTGAAACCACCATTACAACATATTTGTCAAAAAAAATCAAAATTTGCTGACTTCGTTAACCTTTTATTTTTTTTGCTGAGACTTAAAGTATGTTGTACGTGTCCATCAAACCACTGCATGAAATGCAAATGAACTCAGCTTCTCTGTTTCAGCATTTCCTGAATCACCTAACACCCCTGGAGACAGCTTAAATATTTCTTATCTAATATGTCCTCTAATTTAAAATTCATTAAAAACATTGTAAGAATAGAGTAAGATGGTGGCCTGATTTCAAAATCAGAAATTTTGAACCTGAAGTATAATTTGATTCCTCCATGCATACTATTTTTAGGAAAAAATGTAACTAATCAAGCCAAAAAGTAGAGAAAACACAACCAATGTCCATTAACTGCCATGATATGTCAATAGAACGTAGTAAATCTACAGAATTAACTGTTATGCAGCCATAAAAGGAATACACAGCTTTTACAAATTTCAATATGGATGAAGCTCGAACACACACTAAATAGAAGATTTCAGACATAAAAGGCCACCTTCTGTATGATTCCATTTATGTTGAAATGTTTGGAAAAGGCAAATCCATAGAGACAGGACAAAGATTAGTGGCTTCCAGGGGCAGGAGTGGGAATGGGAATTATTTGCTAAGGAAACAGAATTTTTCTCTAGGTCTGGTGGAAAAGTTCGATCAGGATAATGGTTGTCTAACTTCATGAACACACTGAAACTACTGAGCTGTACACTTTAAAAAGGTGGCTTCTATAGTAGGAGAACTGAATTTTGAGTTTCTTAAAAAATAGACTATATGGCTAATCACAACTAAAGTTGTAGAGATGTTTAAGTCAGTCACTGAATTTTGAAATGCCTTCATTTCCTTACCTCTAAAACGAAGAGGAAGCATTAAATTCTCTCCTTCATCCTCCTAACTTGAAATATTAATGGCTTTACTTGGCATCCAGCACATTTTTCATAACTTAGGAATTTCTCATAGTAACAGCTTTTCTGTTTTCTAAAATATGGGACTGCAAGAATAAAATGCCCATATTCTGTCTTTGGATAAGTAAGCACTGCCTGACTTAAAATGTTCACTTTCAAGCTTTAGTCCCCCCCACCCCCAGGGAGTAAACATTTCTTTTGAGAAATAGAGAGGAAAGTCAACCCTTTGATAAAACTGAAGATGCCATAAGGATAAAAAGCAGAAGTGGTACGAACCCATGGGATGCAGCTGGACAGCTCTGAACACTCTAAAACAGGCTTGAACATGAAGCACACGTCTTTTCCCATTCAGTTAAATTTTTTAAATGTTTATTTATTTTTATTTGAAAGAGTGGCAGAGAAATGGAGAAGGAGGGCAGGGGTGGGGGAGAGAGAAAGGGAAAAGAAAAGAGAGAGAGAGAGTGCTCAAACAGGCACAGACAGGCCCATTTGAAGTCAGAAGCCTGAAACTCCATCCGTGTCTCCCAGGTAGGTGGCAGGGACCCAAACACCACAGCCATCACCTGGGCGTATTAGCAGGAAGCTCAATTAGAAGCAAAGTATCTGGGACTTGAACCAGGTCTCCAACATGGGATGAAGGCTTTCTCAATCAATAGTTCACCCACTAAAGTAAAACATCCAACACAGGAATAGCATACATTCTCATGATTCCCATCCTAATTTTTCCAAGTTTCTCATTATTTCTGCTGTATTTTTGAAGACTTTCTGCTTTAAGCTGTTCAACTGACTCTACTGCAACTACTCTTGTTGAAGTCCAAACCCTAGGATAATTTATACCTAATCTAAATAATCACTTGGTTCAAGCAACCAAATAAAAATGTCAGAAAACTGAAGCTGCAAAATCAGGCTGATTGAATTGATGAGACAGGATAAAAGGCAACTGCAGAAATGCGACATGAAAATATTTTAGGCTGTCTCAAGCAAAGAGTGAAAAGGAAATAAGACTGTAATTGAGATATGGAAAGAAATCTAGTAGTTCAACCAATAACCAAACAGGCATCTAATTCAAATCACTGAATAAAACAGGAAATCCCCAAAGATAAATATAAGCACCACAATAAATCATATAAATACACAGAAATCTTCCATTTACTGATTCACTCTTCAAATGGTCGCAATAGCCAGACCTAAAGCCAGGGACCAAGAACCCCTTTCTGCTCTTCCACGTGCCTGGCAGTTGCTTAAGCACTTGGTCCATCTTCTGCTACCTTCCCAGTAACACTGGTAGCAAGTTGGATCCGAAACAGAGTAGCAGGAGCTGGAACCAATACTATGATATCATTTGCTGGTGTTGCAAGTGATGGCTCAACCCATGGTGCTGCAACACCCGCTCCCACACCTACCGCACAGCACAGGGCTTTACATTTGAATCCCAGGACCTCTGTGCTTGCAGAATACAGGGCCTGGCTATTTGCAGGGTTCACTCATTACCCATCTAAATCTGTTAAAATATTACCTTGTAGAACCTTCCCTGACTTACATCCCTCAATCTCTGCTTTTTTTTTTTTTTTTCAACAGCACTTAAACCTTCTAACCTTTTCATATAGTTTGCTTCTGACTTGGTCCATTATCTGCCTGCCTTCACCAAAACACAGACTCCACAGGGCAGGATTTCCTACTTACTCTCGGATCTCACCACCCAGAACATTCGATGCTCCCTAAGCGTGTGGGAAACCAGTGCCGCCTGAACTCACCGGCGTCCCCGGGGTCCGAGCTCTGAAGGAATGTGCGGCAGCGCTCCTTGTGCTCCTCAAGGGAACTTCTCTGCTTGTAACTCCGTCCACAGAACTCACATTTGTAAGGCTTCTCAACTGCAAGAAGAGCACATGGGGTATTCAGCAACCCTCAGGGCAATAGCGGTGCCGGATAGGGAGAAGAACGGGGCTCTGAAAGCTGCACTAAGGAAAACAGTGGTTGGACACTTCTGAATCTACAGTACTTTCTAGTGAGCTGAAATAAGGTTAGCACCTATGATTGGTTATTATATCAAGATTATTCTTTGAAAAGATTAAAGGATTTGAATTCAATGATTAATGTTAGCATAGCATTTGAACTTCATGGAAACTCCCGTTTTTTAGGAAAAATGAAAGGGCCTTTTAATTGCTTATGTTACTAACTTTAACAAGGTGTTTTTCTTTTTTCCTTCACCAACCTCAAAGAGGTTAGGATGGTACAAGGATGAAATTGGATAAGAGTCCTTATTTTGTGACACCCATCTGGCTTAAGGAAAGAATTCTAAAGTTCTAGAGTAGTCAGCATCTATCCAGCCCCTGACAGCCTTTTTAGAACACTGACCTAATTGGATGAATTGAGTTCATGCTTGCTAAATGGCTAGAGCAAAGCATGGGCTAAAATAATAAAAACTGAACTAATGAACTAATAACAGAATTAAGAGTGAATTACAACAATCATCTCATTTTAATTTCTAAGATGAAGCAAAAATTTCTTTAAAAGTTTCACCCAAACAATTCAGGCAACCTTTGTCTTCTCAACTCCCAAATGCTTTATATTTGGAATATGTAATAGCTTTAGCTCTCTTGAGTGCAAGGCTAGACTTTCTGATTTGTTCATAAATATATCAAAGCTTTGTCTCTGTTTAAAACAAACTTGGAGTCACTACGTGACTGCTGCAGAGTCCCAGATTAAGATAACTGCAGGCTTGCTAGGGTTAAAAATGATAAAGTCCTACGTAAATGGGGGATCTCTGAAATCTGTCCCATAAATGCCTATGACTGGTATTTTTGTATTTGAAAAAGGCAACACAAGAGAACTACCCACATTTAGTGAACCAAACCCATCCTTAACTCATTACCTTGAAAAAGGATCTGTAAATGAAAGATACCCTTTTGGTGGGTTTTGTTGGGGCTGCTTTATTTAATCCTAGTGTCTGAAATGTGACCAGTTTGGGGCTAAGCTTTAGTCAAAGCAGTAGATGTGGATTGGTATGAAAACAACCTCTGCTTTTTTTAACAATGAAAATTTTGTCAGATAACATCAAGAACATCAGGTCCCAAATTTGAAATACACTGAAGCTCATTTTTCTGGGAGGGAAGTTCTGTTGTTTTTTTTTTTTTTAAAGTATTATTCTCTTGCTTGCTCAAAATAAGGAGTCAAAGCATCAAGAGAGCTCATAGCTTTTAATGAATTCTTATCACTGGTCATCTTTCAGAGATTAACAACAGGTTATGCTGATTAAGAGGAAATTTAGCTCAGAATGGCCAAAAAAGGAATCCTCAAACAGTGATTTATCTGCAGCTTACATTTTTTTTTATAGTTTACTAATTGCACATTATTTGCTTGGCTAGTCTTTTGACGGGAGAGTGTGTGCATACATGCTTACATGCACATGTTAGGAAAATTGTCTTTTCATAAAGTTTACCGTGAGAAAATACAGATGACTGTAATTTTCTCACAAAAATGAAAATGGCCTTTGTGTAAGGCAGATCTTCATGTATGTGTTATTCTCCCGGGGAGCAAAGATGCTGCAGATCACCCCTACGGAGGCAGACGGAGAGCAAGGACGACTCTAATGAGAGAGTCATTAGCCCTAGAGGTCTCTGCGGCTGCTACCCTTCAGAACTGAAATGACAGATTCAACCTTCCTCTTTAACTCTTCCCAGTTGCCACACTGGGCTCGCAGGAGCCCACAGCTGAGAGATGCGGGGTGCTTGTTCTGTCACTTACCAGAATGTGTCCTAAGATGCCCTGTGAGCGCATCTCTTCTCTGGCAGGCATAGTTGCAGAGGTGGCACTTAAAAGGTTTTTCCCCTGTGTGCAGTTTAATGTGGCGGAGGAGGTTACCTTTCTGAGTAAAAGATGCCCCACACTGATTACACTGGAATGGGCGTTCACCTTTAAAAAGGACAGAAAAGGAGATTTCTGATCATTAGGTGAGTGGAGAAGCATACGCATAGATTAGGTGCCGATGGTAAAATTCATATCTTAGACCATTTCTTTCCATAATGGGATTACTTACGGGGTGCATTAAGTGTTACTTATGGGAGGAAATAGGACCCACCAAGCAAGACTATATTAGGGATCATCTTGCCTTCAATCAGAGCAAGAAACAAGAGCAGTTCTGGAAGTGTTCTCTGGATTTTTCTTCCAAGATTTATTTTACCTTTTTATCTGAAAGGCAGAGTTAGAGAGAGGGAGAGACAGGGTGAGAATGAGAAAGAGAGAGATGTTCCATTTGCTGGTTCTCTCCCCAAATGGTCACAGTGGCCAGCCAGACCTGGGTTGGTCTTGAAGCCAGGAGCCTGGAGCTTCTAACATGTCTCCCACATGAGAAGTAGGAGCCCAAGCACTTGGGCTGTCCTCTGCTGCTTAGCCTGGAGCTGGATTAGAAGCTGGGACTCAAATAGGTGCCCACATGGGATGCTAATGCCGTAGGCAGAGGCTTAACGTGCTATGCCATTGTGATGGCCCCTCTAGATATCAGTTTTTATATTGTTTAGCATTTCTCTTCAATGCAATCTCTAAAAAAAGTTACAGACTTAAGTCTTAAGATGTTAAGGGTAAGAGTTTGTCTTTTGTGGGTTTTTCCCCCCTAAAACCTTTACATGAGGTGTCAGATGAATTCTTGATTTGGAGTGATTACTGTGTTTGTGTGCATTCCAACCAACTGCCTTTTTATTGTCTGAAAAGCAATTCTTTAAAATTAGTAATAAAAAGGTCTCCCTTCATCTAACAAACACAGTACAACAAGGAGATCTTCTTTTATTAAAAGTGATATGCAAAAGCAAACAAAACAAGTGTTACGCAGTGGCCAGCACAATAGCGTAGTGGGTAAAGCGACCTTCTGTAGTGTCAGCAACCCATATGGGGCACTGGTTTGGGTTCTGGCTAATCCTCTTTCAATCCAACTCCTAGTGAAAGCACCTGGGAAAGCAGAGGAGCAAGATTCAAGTCCCTGGGCCCCTGCATCCAGACGGGAGACCCAGATGAAGCTCCTGGCTTTGGACTGGCCTGGCTCTGGCTGTTCCATTTTGGGGATTAGTGAATGCAGTGAATGCAGTGAAAGAAAGATCCAGCTCTCTGTCCCTCCCTCTCTCTTTTCTTCTGTAACCCTTTCAAATAATCTTTTTAAGTAAAAAGTGGGGCCTGGAGCTGTAACCTAGCAGCTAAAGTCCTCGCCTTGCACGTTTGGGGATCGCCTATGGGTGCCAGTTCTAATCCAAGCAGCCTGGGAAAGCAGTCTAGGATGGCCCAAAGACTTGGGACCCTGCACCTGCGTGGGAGACACAGAGAAGGCTCTCGGCTCCTGCTTTCGATCGGCTCAGCTCCAGCCATTGAGGTCACTTGGGGAGTAAATCAACAAAACAGAAGATCATCCCCTTTGTTTCTCCTCCTCTCTGTATATCTGACATTCCAATAAAAATAAATTTTAAAAAAAGGAAAAAGTGTTAGGTAAAAAATCCATGCAACATTTCTAAGAATAATACAATTCAACCCCTACTTATTAACTGAAGACAAATTATTTGGCTAACTTAAAACACTGGGCTCCCTGAAGTCTTTGTGTTTCTTTCAAAGCATATACAAGCTTTGCCAAGTTGCATGGTAAGGAAGGGATAAAAATCACTGGATCATAGCAGTACAGATGGGGAGAGATACATCATTGTGATAGCAGAAATCAATGAAATAATCAGAAGTGCCAAATCCCACCACTTCACTTCTCATGTGACTGCATCCGCACAGAAGAAAGGAGAAAGGAGGGTGATTACCAGTGTGGCTCCGCTTGTGCACCATTAACACATTGAAACTAATGCAGGATAACCCACACACATCGCAATTCATCTTCCCAGTGCTTGGCCTGCTGCTATCATAGGAGACAACATGCCTCTCCAACTTCATGTTTTCATATTCATTGTATTCTCTTGCATAGCCGTAAGGCATTTCCGGCTCTTCCACATGCCCTATGGGCTCTGGCTTCAGAACATTTTCATCTCTTTCGCTGTATTCATCTTTCACTTTCATCGAATCATCTGCAGGGAAGGAAACACAAGAAGGGAACAATGTGTGTATGTGCAGTGATCAGACCAGCTCCAAAAGCAGAGATTCATGACTGAACCAAATATCAAATAAAGCAATAATTGTACATCCACAAGACAAGGAAATACCATTAGGATCATCATTCAATATCTGAATTCAGAATCACAGTGAAAGGAAAACATACAGATCCATATGCTTAAACATGGATGAAAATGTTTGGGGCTATTCAGAAAACTGGAGTTAATGGATTTTTAGTTATGACTATTCAAAGCAACCATGAAACAAACATTTAAAAATATATATATTTATTGGGCCCTTTGCAATAGCCTAGCAGCTGAAGTCCTCGCCTCGCATGTGCCAAGATCCATATAGATGCTGATTCTAAACTGGCAGCCTCACTTCCCATCCAGCTCCCTGCTTGTGGCCTGGAAAAGCAGTCGAGGACGGCCCAGGGTCTTGGGATCCTTCACCCCTGTGGGAGATCTGGAAGAGGCCCCGGGCTTCTGGCTTCAGGTTGGCTCAGCTCCAGCCATTGTGGCCACTTAGGGAGTCAATCAACAGACAAAAGATCTTTTCTCTCTGTCTCTCCTTCTCTCTGTATATTTGTCTGTCCAAGAAAAACAAATCTTAAAAAGAAAATCATCCAGATTTATATATATATAAATATATACATATTATATATATGTGTGTGTATATATATACACACACACACACACATATTTATATTTATACTGGAAAGGCAGATTTATGCAGAGAAGGAAAGACATTGAAAAATTATCTTCCATATGCTGTTTCACTTCCCAAATGGCTTTATGGCTGCAGCTGAGCTTATCCAAAGTTAAGAGATTCTTCTGAGTCTCCTACACAGGCACAGGGTCCCAAGGCTTTGGGCTGTCCTCTGCTGCTTTCCCAGGCCACAAGCAGGAAACTGGATGGGAAGTGGGGCAGCTGGAACACAAACTGGTGCTTTCAGATGGAGGATTAGTCAATTGAGCCATTGCACCAGCTCCAAAACAAACATTTTGAACAATTCTTCCCTAGTCCAGGGACAGAAGAAAGGTTCTTAAACCTAGTGCCTTTTTGTGTGATTGAAGGCAAAAGGCAAGGTGCCAAGGTGTCTTAGGTTTCAAGGAGAAAGTTACTGTCTTAATCCGTCAAATGCATCTAATTGAAGCCAGGAAGAGTGAGAACTGAATAGTCAGTATGTCTTTTCTGACTCTTAAGCCTTTTTCTTTTGTATGCATATGAGCTACTAAGTCACTTCTCATCTCCCTATCTCTCTTGGAACGGATAAGAATGCAACACTGAGTGTACAGGAAGTCATCGTTACTAGTGAAACACTGCTGAAATAAAAGGAGAAATCATTCTCTAACATAACCTAAGGAACTGCTAACACGCCACTAGTAAATATGGTTCAAGCTGAGCAAGGGGGAAAGGAATTCATATCAAAGACAGGGAGAGCTCAAATCAAGACTCCAGGATTGCAGTACTCACTGGGAGAACTAGCTCAGATGAACTGGCCCACCAAGTGCTATCTCTGAAAGAGCTACGGCACTCCTCTAGGGAAAGGCATAGCAAATGAAGAAGGCGGGGTGGTTGTTAGAGCAACATAAGTGTTTCACATGAGGTGCCAGCATCCCAGATAGGCTCCACTTCCAGTCTCTGCTTATGACAAGGGAAAGCAGCAGGGACCTTGGGCTTCTGCACCCGTAACAGAGACGTGGAAGATGCTCCTGGCTCCCAGTTTCAGACTGGCCCAGCTCCAGCCTTTGCAGCCTTTTGGGGAATGAATTAGTGCATAAAAGATTCTCTCTCCTCTCTCTTTCTCTGTAACTCTTTCAAGTAATATAAACAAATCTTCAAAACAATGAAGAAGGCAAATGTATGCACTGGATAAGAATAACCTAAACATTCACTTGATATAATAACCATGAACATTTGTAAAAGGATCTGCACATGTAAGATTTGTTGCATAAATCTTCTTCAAATACTGATTCTTAGGAAAAAGAATTTTTGAGATTTAGGGTTGGAAGGGAATTGATAGATCATCTCATTCTTGTTCTCCGATGGGTAAATCAGGTTGCAGACATGTTTTCAAGTGATCTGTCCAAGCTTATTATGCAAGTTAGACAGTTACTAGCAGAAGTGTGATTAGGGCACCATACTTGACCCTGAACTATCAGTTACTTGTATGTGATTTCAAAAACTTGAAGGATAAGGTCTAAGTGGTTTCTTACAAACTATACACCTCACCCTCCCATCAGTGGTGGAGATGTTAACATCAAAACATTCTTTAAAAAAAGATATCTTAAAAATGACATCCCTTCCAAAAAAACATCAATAAGTGTTGTTCCTGTTGCCACCCAGGAGGAAGTACAACTGCAGCTGGGCTTGGCTTGCTACCTTCAGCCCAAGTTTCAATTTTCACTTCTATCAAGGTTACCTTTCATCTGTATTAACAATGTTTGCTTAACAGAGCAAGACAGGGCCTAACCACCAACAAAGGAGCCACAGCTACAGCACTGTTCCCCTGCCTCTCTCCACACTTCATGGTTCACGGCCTTTCACTGACCAGCAGAGATAGAGGGCTGTGGGATAAGTCAACAGGGTTGACTTATGTGTTGGAGTTGCACATGCATTGCTATCATTGCTATCCATGAGGGTCGTTTCCTTTTTTCTCTGGACAGGTCTTGCCAGGTTTCAGATGGAATTGGTTTGCCTAAGTGGTTTTTAAACTTTTTTTTTTTTTAAAGAGAAGGATGCACCTGAGGCTTGTATACTCCTCTCTTCCTCCCTCACTCCAGCTGTGGGTGCTATCCCACCAAAGCTTGAGTGCTCTTCGGTTTGCATGTAGGCGTTTGAAAAGAACCTCAACGGAAAAACTTGACTACTGAAAACCAAAAACAGCAGATTGAAAGGGCCAACAGAAAAAAGGATCCTTTTCATTTTGCTAAGATGTAAATCTAACCAGGTTCAGGTCACTTCATGGTCAGTATGCATTAGAAAACACTCAAGATTGAGAGAGTGTAAGCTCTCTCTGAAAACAGAGGACAGAAGATCTGCTGTTTTCCTCAGAATGTTGGCCTTGAATAGGCTTGCCCTGGGAGTCAGTACTTTATAAACCTGGCTCAACTTCAAGTCTTAGCTTTAGTTCTTTACAACTTGCCTGTAGAACAAGGAAGATGGTATTTGAGACACAGGGCCGTAAGAGAAAGTGTTCTAAGAGTCACATTAGGGAAGTCATTCAGACTAATTGAACCAAAAATGTTTCTGGTGTAGTTGTTGGTTTGCCTTTGCAGTATTACCTACTTCAGATAAACAACCTGGATGGTGTCTCTGAATGGTTACTGTGAATCAGCAATTTATAATGGTTTCCCATATAAAGGTTAACAGAGATGAATGGGGGTCAGGGTAAATGAAAATATAAGGTACAAAGAGGACTCCTGAGGAATTATCAGGCTTAGCAGCCAGATTGCAAAGACCAAAACAATCAGGAAAGGTGTCTGTCCATTCGAATGAAGAGCTCCTTAGCATTCCTTGGGAGAAAGATTCTCTGCGGTAGAGGAAAGGGGAGATTCTACTTAGTACCCCCAGAAAATATAAGCATGTCTATCAAGCTTGTCATCTTTGAGCTCAAACTTCCTTCTAATTTCTGACATGTTTATGTTCATGACTATCCATACTTCCAGACTCTAGGGACCCTTCCCTTTTCAACCTTTTTATTGGTCAGTCTTTAAGATCTGTCTATCAACTTTCAGCTTTCTAGACGCCAACTCCTCTTCTCCTTTTTTCAGTTAGTTCAGCATCTCCTCACAGCAGACTTGAACTCAACCTCTTGCAGCATCCCCTCTATACATTTACTATAAAGATGATCATGCTTATTGCCTCTATAGCCTCAGCACTGACTCAAAACTTGATAATATGATTTCTGCCTTACAATTCATTCAATTTACTTTCTTAAATTTGTCAATAATGTTCTGATTCCTAAATCCAATGTCTTTTTCTATGCCAGTATCCCCACCTTCTCTGTTGTCCTTGACACTATTTATCACCACTCCTTGTTTCTTTTCTTTTGTTTTTAACGATTTATTTATTTGTATTAGAAAAGCAGGTCTACAGAGAGAAGGAAATACAGAGAGGAAGATATTCCGTCTGATGGTTCACTCTCCAAATGGCCGCAATAGCTGGAGCTGAGCCAATCCGAACCAGGAGCTTCTTCCGGGTCTCCCACCTAGGTGCTGGGTCCCAAAGCTTTTTGCCATCCTCAACTGCTTTCCCAGGCCACAAGCAGGGACCTGGATGGGAAGCAGGGCTGCCAGGATTAGAACCGGCAGCCATATGGGATCCCAGCACATGCAAGGCAAGGACTTGAGCCACTAAGCTACTGCGCCAGGCCCTCCCTGTTCTTTTTTCAAAGATTTAGTTGAAAGGCAGGGCTAGAGGAAAAAAAGAAGGGCAGTGGGAGAAAATCTTCTATCTGCTGGCTCATCCCTAGATGACAGCCAGGAACCTGAAGCGTCTTCCAAGTCTCCCATGTGGGTGCAGGGGCCCAAGCACTTAGGCCATCCTCTGCTACTTTCCCAGGCACATTAGCAGGGGATTGGATCCACACTGGAGCAGCTGAATCTTGAACTAGCACCGATATGTGATTCTGGCATCACAGGTGATGGTCCAACCAGCTATGCCACAATGTTTTCCCCTTTCCTTGGTTTTCTGTACTCCTGCATCTTCAATGAAACTGTAGCTCCTTTTTATACCTTTCTATATCTATCTACATATATATGTACTTTTAAAAGATACATGGTAAATTTTCCACTCTTTTAAAATATTTATTTATTTGAAAGGCAGAGTGACAGGGTAGGGCAAGAGAAAAAATTTTCAACCACTAATTCAATCTCCAAATGGCTTTTTTTTTTTTAAGATTTATTTATTTTTATTGCAAAGTCAGATATACAGAGAGGAGGAGAGACAGAGAGGAAGATCTTCTGTCTGA